AATCACATTTCGATAGATACTTAAAATTTCCAATCGCTTTTCTAACTATCACATCAATTTATTATACGACAATAACAATAAATTTAGTCCTTTTGAAGTAAATACAATAAGTTAAACTAGAAATTTAGCATATAACCTGTTTTCTTTAAGTCTTTTTCTTGATGATACACTTAATAGCTCTGCTTGAATATCGCGTTCAAAGTTTGAGTCTTCAAAATGTGTACTACAAATATGTCTAGTTGTATGATTAAACAAATCGCGTCTTTCGCACCGTTTCACCCGTATCTTTCTAAGCCTTTTTGTCCTTAGGAAACACATTGAATAAAGTTTTTGTCTTGTTTAGCACTATAAAAATTATTGCAAATTACAACTACACCTCACTCCTGGCATTTTTACGTGGTTAATAGTTTATATTAAACACTACACCATCAACTTATTAAAAACTATTATCAATAACTAACTAATTACTGCAAAATACCCAAACAACTATGAAAGATTTACTTAAATACTTGGAAAAATGCAAAATTACTAGCTAAGTCGCGTGTAAACAAACATGAATTCTAAAGGTTAGACATCTTGTGACGTAGTATGAAATAAGCCACGCCCATAATTTCTATCTATTACTCGACCGTCTCTTTTACGGACCGTGCAACGAAGGAGCTAATCGTTCATCGTTCATACCGGCACTGAGCGAGCACTGAACATTGAACGAGCCGAGCTCGATTGTTCCACTCCAGCTCCAGAGTCAGAGGTAAATACCACGACTCACGATTGGACTACAAATGTGTGAATTCTCCATATAACGTTGACTGATTACCACGACAGAAATATAATTTAGGAATAAGTGAGCCGCAAATGTAAAAATAAATGTTTATTATTAGAATACTGTAGAATATTTTAATAGGACACATAAATGCTTAAAACTGCAATAAATTATTATCAAGATATTAAAAATAGAATAAAGTTTATTTCTCGTAAGTATAAATAAACGGAAAAATTATTAAGTTAACAAAATCATCTCAAATGCAGTTATAGGTAATAGTTAAAAAAATTTTTGCAAATTATGTAGATACCTATTACAAATTATAATTTGGGAGACTTTTTCACCTTGTAAACTACTTCGTTCAACAGTGTAACAATTTGCCCTGCTTTGGAAAAAATCCTCTCACATGGAACAGATGATGATACGACATGTAGTAAATAAGAGTTGTTAAATTATATACAGGGTGATCGAGAATGATTGACCGTGCCGCCTCATAGTGATTTTTGATGTGCGGCATACCAGTTTTTGATACCAATACTAGAATCATGAGCGTGGGTTGAGGGATTTTAATGGTAAACAAATAATTACGTTCAAACGTCAAATAAATTAGGTTACTGTCAAAATGGAAATTCATAATAAAAATATGAATTATTTAACAAAAATCAAAGTTATTTCACAAATTAAGCAATACTGATGGACCAATAAATGTTATTATTGTTATTATTATTAAAGAGGATGACAGAATCAAATGTAGGTTTAGCCTAACTTTTCCAAAATTCTTATTTCATTTACAATTAGAAAAACTTTTAAATCAAAGTTTGATGTAGCTAATTTTGAATAACGACTGTAAGTGCTTCAGCGATTTTATTTTTAAAACGTTATGAGTTAATTTTAAAACAGAAGCACTATTGTGGCTACATTCTTGGCATCTAAGACGATTCAGCTATACAGCGATACGCTGCAAGCTGCTGTTTTTCATCAAAGCAAACTGCTGTATGCTTATAAGACGACTATTTTGCAGCTACTGCTTTCACACTTCTGAATATCCAGCGCAAGCGATCCAGCCCAAAAATTTATGCTGAACATTTTAGTTAGCTGTCGAAATTCAGGAAAAGTGTCTTAAAAAAATTTGCTTCAAGCAAATGCAAGCAGTTGGAAGTGCTTGATTATGTTAGATGGTAGGATTGTCTGTATGACCGAGAGCAATAAACAACAGTTACATGCAATATATAATAACAGAGTAATTGGAATTTTTTCACATTTTATTGAATATTTTACCTTAAAATTACATAAAATCCATAAAAATATCTATATTTTTACAATAAATGTTCAATATGATGTCCATTGTTGTTCAAGCAGGTATTAATTCTTCTTTTCATATTATTAAATACATTCTGTAAAACATTTTGTGTAATACTCCTAATTTCGTTTGTAATTGCCTCTTGAAGTTCTTCAATCGTGTGTAACCGTTGAGCAAATACTGAATTTTTTAAAAAACCAAATAAATAATAGTCTAGGGGTGTAAGGTCAGGAGAACGTGGTGGCCATCTATCTCGACTAATTATTCGATCATCATAATACTCTCTAATCAACTCTAAAGTTTCGTTAGAGGTGTGAGCTGTTGCGCCATCTTGCTGAAAGTATCCATGATGGATTTCATCGTCGTGAAGTTCCTCAAAAAATGGTAACAATATTTGCTGCCGATATACCTGCCCAGTTACATTTTCACGGAAAAAATATGGTCCGATTATTCTTCTACGTGACATAGCTACCCAAACACCAAGTTTAATAGGGTGCAGAGTTGTTTCACGCAAAATATTAGGGTTTTCTGTGTTCCAAGAGCGATAATTTTGGGAGTTTACGTACCCACTTAAATGAAACCACGCTTCATCAGAAAAAAATGTTAGATCTAGAATATCGTCGTCATTCAGATTTTCGTTAAACCAATTACAGTATTGCACACGTTTTCCAAAATCTAACGGAAGTAGTTCCTGCACAACACTAACTTTATAAGGATGAAAATGCAACTTCTTTACTGCTTTATGGCATGATCCATATGATATTCCTATAAACAATTTAGGAATAATGATACAAATTTTAGAATAAATATTTGTTATTAAGTACCTGTTTGAGCAGATAACCGACGTAGTGATTTGGTTGGACTAGCTCGTAAGCGGTTTTCAACATCTTCCAAGACTTCCTCTGTAAGAATAGACTTTCTGCCTGGAGATTTTCCTCTACAAACACTTCCAGTGTTATGGAAGCGTTCCACTAATCTCTTCACGTGTCTCGAAAAAATTTCATAATCAATTTCATCATTTGGAAATTGTTCTTGAAATTGTAAATGACACGAATTCATCGAATATTTCCAACCATTACCATTGTTTTGTCCACTACGAAAATAGGCCTCCAGAAGAAATTTATCATGTTCTAATGAAAATGCCATGTTAACCTAAATTAAAAAACCGATTAGGTTAGAGAACAACATACGCAATAAATTAATTACTCACGTATAATATCCACCTACTCTAACTGTAGTATTGAAAAATACTGTTTTATAATGTCGCAAAATATATCAGGTAACAACAAAATCTACAAAATAATATTCAAGCCAAAAAATCCGTGCGCCAATGAACAGAACGTCAAATTGTGAAATCGCCACAGAACACCATGAAATTGCACGGAAAAAAAAGTAATTTTAGCAAACGGAAATCAGTTTTGATAGCAATTGAGACAGGGTACGTTCAGAATCCGGTCAATCATTCTCGATCTCTCTGTAGAAAATAATAATAGAGAAAGAAATAGCTGTTTTTTTTAGGTGGAGTTTTCCCAGTTCTAAAAAATGAACATAAAATCGATTAGCCATCCTTATATATGAAGGCGAAGAAAAGTGTAAAGAATAGGGTAATTTGTAATATTCTGAATAAGTGCCACCTCCCACCAGTTGTGCATATTAGGCACAGCCACAACTCGAAAGAGCAGGAGTGAGCAAGAGAAGAGTGTTTGTTTACTTGAGCAATTGTCAGCATAGTCAACAGTCAACATATGTTGCACGTGTCGTTCAAATGAACGACTCGCATTGAACGGCACACTTAAATGAGTTGTGCCGCACGTGCAAACACATCCAAAATGAACGAGCGACCCAGCTCTAGTATGAATGAGTCCAATGAAGATGGCCGAAACTATGTTACCAAATGTTTTAATGAGCAAAGCGGACAGACCAGAAAACAATTTTCATTACACTTGTAATGTCATATAATGAAGGAACTAAATCATTTTATTACACTCGTAATGTTATATAATGAAGGAATAATGTATATACATTTGTAGAAATTGTCCGAATATAGAGGATTAGAACGTTTCAATAAATTTTACAACAGAAAAGTAGGAGATTTGCGGTCGACAAAATAATCCGGGCAATGTTGCAAAATGGCACTTAGAATGTGCTTAGTTGTCGTCAATAGAAAATTTGTAAATTAGAAGTCTGTGAGTTTAACCGAAGGTTGTATTCAAACCTACGGTCAACTCGGAGATATTGGAGCGACAACTTGCATTAATGCATGCGGTATTTAGACATCTAAGCATGTGCAGTTGCATACAGCTGTCGCGCTGCCGTAATAACGATAACGCCTGGTGTAATTTACGAATGTATAGCGTTATGCTTTACCGTTTCGCTAAAGTGCTTCGGGTGATGTCGGAAAAGCCGACGACGATTAGGCACATAGAATATGGTTAGACAAAACCAATCAAAGTCATCAAACAACTACCCTAGGATGTTCAATAACTCATATTTTCAAGACAAATTAACGCACAAATAACGCTGCGCTATTAACACCGTACGTGCGGTATGTGACGTACCAATATCTCTCTATTATTTTCACAGGTCTAGTTTGAATCGCAAAATATTTATGATTAGAAAGTTGAGGAAAAATCTAATCTGCAAATCAGCAAATCTCAAGGAAGAAACGAAGAAAATGTGGAAGTGAGAGAAAAGTATTTTTGGGAAAATTTTGGGGAATTTTGATATTTTACGTGGGAAGAACCCAAGGATATTTGTTATAAATATCCTTGGGAAGAACCGGACAGATTACATCAGATGACAGATATTAGCTGCTTTCCATTGCTGGGGAACTGCTCCTTTAGTAGTCTCCTTCTGTTCTACTCTTTAAGTTTAACTACTCCAAAAGGAAAGCAGCTTTAATGGTTTTTTTAAGTTTTATACATAACCAAAAAAGAATTGTTTACATTTGATTTTGAACCATAATATATTTAGAAATAATAAATTATGAATAATATTATAAAACAGTTAGAAACTCTTTCGGAACAAGAACTTTATTCCAACATTGTTAAAGTTGTATGTATTCGTTTTAAATATAAGGAAAACCTCCATTAATTAATTAATTTTTAGTGCGATTTGGCTTTGACCATTGGAGAACAGAAACCTGACACTTTTACATTATTAATGAAATTCCAGATTACACTTTATTATGCTGATGCTTTATACAGTATTCAGCAATTCTTTCAAGCAGAAAATTTGTATCGGCAAGCACTACAGATGAGAAAAAACATACTTATTAAAAAAAATTCTAATAATAAAATAACGGAGAATCAGAATGAAGTAGCTAGTGATGTAGACATCAAATATAAAATACATTTGTGTTGTTTAGCACTGAAGCAAAAAAAAGCTGCTGGAGAAATTTTGCAAATGGTTTCTGCTCGTTTACGTACGCCAAAAGTAAACATGGCTTTAGGAAATATATTTAAAGACTTAGGAATGGAAAGATCTGCAATAGCGTGTTTTAAAGAAGTTCTCAGAGATTGTCCATTAGCCCTTGAAGCTGTGGAAAATTTACTGAAATTAGGAATAAAAGTAAGTCAATTATTAAATGAAATTACAATAATTTGATTATTCATAATTTTGTGTTATATTTCATATGAAATATTAAATTATAGGGCGTGGAAGTAAATTCGTTAATGGTAGAAGTGTCATCAGAAATAACATGGTTAAATTCTTGGATAAAAGCTCAGGCTCAATTACATTCTCGAGATTTTGCAAATGCAATTAAAACATACAAGAGCATGGATACACATGGTTTGTTAAAAGACAACACATCTCTTATAGTCAATATGGGCTATTGTTATCATTACATGTGCGAAGATCAGAGAGCTATATCAGTTTTACAAAAAGTAAGAGCAAATCACAATTCTATATATATATATATATATATATCTTAATGAGCAATAATAATAATGAGATTTTCTGACGATAAATAAAATGCAAAAAATTAGACGACTACTCAAGTTAAACAAAATTCCAGTTCAATGGGGATGCAGTCATAGAAAAAAAATATTACTCATTTTAGTTTTCAAGTTTTCAAAATTATAGTTGTTTTTCAACAGGAAAGTTAATTGAGAATTATATTTGGAAATTAACAACATGAGTGGTGTTATTACATGAGTAATAGATTATAGTTATAATCCTGTCTTCAAGAAATAAATTTACAATTTTTAGAATTTTTAAAAATGCTAGATAATACTTTTTAACAAATTTTAAACTATGATTTATGACCCACGTGATAATGACATCACTCATGTTGTTAATTTCGAATCCAATTCTCAGTGATAAATTCTCCTGATAAAAAAACAAATAAAATTTCGAAAGCTTGAAATCCAAAAAGTTTAAAACTTTTCCATGACTGCATCCCCGTCGAGCTAAAATTAATATATATGTAAATATGTATAACCTTTGAAATCTTACATAGGCATTTCGGATCGATCCTTTCCTCACGGCAGGCAAAGATCTGTTATCAACTCTTTTAGCAGCTTCTGGAACCAAAGATCATATTCGGACACTGGAAAGTTTAATACCTACAATGGATATGTCTTTATGGAGTAGTGAACACTGGGTTATTTTAGGAAACTATATGTTTGCTTTGAAGAAATATGACAAAGCTGCTTATTTCGGACAACAAGCCTGTGTGTTGGATCGAAGAAATATCGAGGCGCTTCTCTTGAAAGCAAATACTCTGGTCCAAATTAAAAAATATCAGGATGCTGCTAGTCATTGTACTGAGGCATTACAAATTTGCCCTTACAGGTACTGTATTTTCGCAAAAGGCTTTTTAATTAATCTAATGGGTTACAAAAAAGGAATGCTCATATTTCAAGAAAAATTGAATGGTGAAAATTACTGGTTGACATCTTCATTCCTTTAAGGAGAATCGGGTACTAGGAAAAAATGCAGCCAATTTCGTATTGAGATATTTTTGCAATGTGAAATCAAATTCTGTCAATTCTCAAATTATTTATCGATTTGAAATCATTTTTATTTACAGAGTACCATAACTTACAAGATGTAAAAAATACAGCAACATATAAACAATGAAATGTTTATACTTTGCATCATAACGCATATAACAGGCATATGCGTTTTGATAAAATTATGACATTTTTAATATCATTTTTCATTTGAAAATTAATATTTCAATA